ATATATATATATATATATTTTTTTTTTTTTTAAGAAAAGCAACAACGATAAAGAATCTAATTTCTGCAATTCTACTTTAAATGTCTTGGGTTTTTAATCCTGCTTTTTGTACAAAAGTAATTCTTAGTAATACTTGCCCAGAGTACTACATCTGTTAAAAGCAGCATTTCTAGTTAAAGAATTAACCGTGTTTCAATAATGGACACCACTGTGCACAAACTCAGGATTCCAACTGTACAGAATGTGAAACAGACACACTGAATGAGAGAGACTGAAGGCTTCAAGAGGCTCTCAAAATTCCCACCATCCTAAAACTAGTAACTCGTCTTTCTAGTCTGAGCATTACGAGTTGGGGACCACCATCACATTGTCCATCACCATCACAATGGCTCTCATTCCCTGAGTGCCCATCACAGCAAGGCCTCCCAGCTACCTGCACAGGAGATAGCGTTATGCACATTTGACAGAGGACAAGATTAAGACTCAGAGTGGTTATGTAAGCTGCTCAAGGCCACAGGGCTAGAGAGTGGCTGAGTTACAGTGTAAACCTGGGCAATTTGACATCATGTTCTTTGGTTATATCACGCTGGTGTAGGGACACATTACTAAAAATTTAAAGAGGGAGAATACAAGGACAAGAAACTTGAAATGTATGAAGAAAACAGGATGCAAAATTTTATTCTGTGTTTGAATTTTCTCTTTAGAATCAGTGTGTAATACATTTAAAGAAGGGGCATCACTATGTAACCTACAGCTCTTAAGAGGATAATAAGAAACTATTTTCAACAGCTTTATGTCAATACATTTGACAACGTGGATGAAATAGACAAAATTCTTAAAAGACAAAGGTGACCAAAACTGACCCAAGAAGAAAGTGACAACTTGAATCCCTCTGTCAGTGAAAGGAATTGTTGTACAACAGTTCTGTATCCAGACTGTGGCCATGACTACACAACTTAATCCAATCACCAAAATTGATCAAACTATAGACTTAAAATGAGTGAATTTTATTTATGTAAATTATAGCTTAAAACAAGGAAAAATGTAAACACTTATTGTTTCCATTTTGGCCATCTACTCGAGTAAAAACGTAATTGATTGTTAATAGTAATAGCACGAGAATAGTACTATAATGTTGGCTATGCATCCTCAAGGGATTCTCTCCCCAACAGTCTCACTCAGCATCTTGGGAGAACTTTCACATGAATCACAAGCAGCCTTCAAGGTTCTCATCTTGTTCATGACACGTCCCCCAAAGAAGATCTTATTCAAATTTAGGGCAAAGCATCCATTTGGTTATGATATCATCAGTGAAGCAGAGATTTACCTGGAAACTATAGTGTTGACAAGCCCCTCAAAAAGAACAGGGAATCTCAACCATTTCTCTCTGCCTCGGGAAAACATGATTCCTATCTGGTAGACAGTTGGTACAGTGGGCTGGCACTGGGGGTGCAGGTTAACTGCAAACACTCACACTGCAAGATCAGGACTTGGTCTTGATTGGGGCTAAGTGTGCGTGTCTTGGACTGGCATAGGCTCCCTTAAAAACAGGCAGGGATTCTGACATGTTGTGATTGGGCACTGTTGTCAAGGTGCCTTTCTGCCTCTCCCTGTTTCTCAGCCAGGGTAGGGGCCCTTATGTGAGACCCAGAGAAAACGGTAGATGGCAGAATACAAAATGGTTCTCACCCTGTCCCTGAGTGCCCAGACTTCAGAAGTACCAGGAGTGAGCAGCCTCATTTCCACAGTCAGCGTAGGGGATTCTCTAGCCGTGGGAAAGTAGAAAGTGGACAGTATGGTGAGAAAGTTAGGGGAAAACTCCTTGGGGAGTTACGGTCTCAAGGAAATTTCCGGGAGGCAAATTGCAGGACTGAACTGAGAAAGTGTTAGAATTCCAAGTTTGGAGAAACACGGAAAAAAAAAAAAGAAGAGAGAGCAGGATATAAGACTTGTGGGAGACGCAGGGGTTGGACTTGGTTTAGAAAGATGCCTGTTAAAATGTAGAATGCTCCGTTCCTGAAATACTGGGACTGTTGACCTGAACGGAACATGCTGAGTTCAACACAGGCTAATAGAAACGCAGGGTCAGAGAGTGGAGGGAAAAACAGTAAGCTTGGAATAGGAAAAACAGGTACTAAAAAATGGTGGGAGGCAACCTTCTAGGCTAGATGTCACAAATTTGTAGATTATAGATGTATGAAGTGTTGGAAGAAGCCGCTCTGAGGAAACATTCTGCAAAGGTGGTAGACGTTTCTGTACAGCAAACTTTTGACGGATTTCCCCCAATCCGGTTTCAAGTTCAGGGCTGAATTCTGAACTGGCAAACATTGGCTGGCACACTGTAAAGGTGAAACCCAAACCTCTCTTTTGTTTTGCCTTCACAAATATTCCTCATCTGTCACTAATGTTCTATGCCTGTGATATCAACGTGAGTCTGGATCAGGTGTCAGCAAACACAGCCCCTGGGACAAATCCTGTCCACCACCACTGTTTTTTACAGTCTGTGAGCTAAGAATGCTTTTTACATTTTTAAATATTGGGGATAGGGGAATCAAAAGAATATTTTATGACGTGTGAAAATTATATGAAATTCAAATCTCAGTGTCCATAAATGAAGCAGCATTGGAACGTGACCACGGTCCTCCGTTTACATGTTGTCTGCGCAGAGTTCAGTAGCTGTGACAGAACCTGTACGCGACTATCTTATCACTTTGCACTGCTGCTTGGTGTGCTTGCTGCCCATCACCGTGATGCAGTGACCTGAGTACCAAGCACAGCACTGGGCTGTGTATGACCAGTGCATACCCCATCCTGTCAGAACAAGAAAAGTTGATGGCCTCTTTGTGCTTTGAAGGTACAGTGGAGTGTGGGCTATTTTGTTACCGCATCAGGTGGCAAAGCATTCTTTGGGATGCAATGCCACTATAGCTGTGCCAGGAGAATATAACAGAGGTCCCCACTACCAGGCTGAGCCGTCATCACAATGTCCCCAACTCCCAGGAAAGCAATGATCAAAAAAATCAGAGAATTTAAAACAGCACCCCAGGACAGAATTTCTTTACAAAAGAAATGAAAATGAGGCTACGGACCCCCAGGAAGCTACCAAGCAGTTCATTTTGTAAGCCAAGCAAGGAAAACCATATGCCAATAGTGAGGCAATTAATTGTAGCAGGCAAAGAAACATGTCCAGGGAACATAAACTTGTTGTACATTACTATTAGCCTTTTGGGGAGAACAGCGCTTGAGGAGTTAGGACACCAGGAGCGACATCTATAGTTAAAAAGCGAGGCAGGGGGCTTCCCTGGTGGCGCAGTGGTTGAGAGTCTGCCTGCCAATGCAGGGGACACGGGTTCGTGACCCGGTCCAGGAAGATCCCACATGCTGCGGAGCAGCTGAGCCTGTGAGCCATGGCCGCTGAGCCTGCGCTCAGCAATGGGAGAGGCCACAACGGTGAGAGGCCCGCACACCACAAAAAAAAAAAAAAAAAAAAACGAGACAGAAGATGCAGCATGTGAGCATCCTTGGCTCTTGGTGTGTCCACGGAACTGGATGCTATTGCTCAGCTGTATATTCTAGGGCTCAGTGAGAGGCTGGAGTGACTGCAGGCTCAGGCTCTCTAAACAGTCTGAAAAAAAAAAAAAAAAAACGAGACAGAAGATGCAGCATGTGAGCATCCTTGGCTCTTGGTGTGTCCACGGAACTGGATGCTATTGCTCAGCTGTATATTCTAGGGCTCAGTGAGAGGCTGGAGTGACTGCAGGCTCAGGCTCTCTAAACAGTCTGCGTGGAACAACTAAAGGTGAGGATACTTCCAAAGAGGTTGAGGAAACACTAGTTCAGTACAGCCTAAAGTGGAATCAGCTAGGATGTTATTACCCATGGTGGTAAAAATGTGTGGGACAGACACACAGATAAATTACAAATTTACAAAGCTTGTGAAAATGTAAGGTGTTTAAAGCTATCTCCTATACCATCAGGTACTTGGCAAAACAAACAAAATCTATTGTGTGTCACTGAATCAATAGTGTCAACAGTGCATGTGACATTCCCTCCATGGACCTGACCACTATTTTGAGCTCAAGACAAATTTTCTCATTGAGAAAAATTGCTCTCAACCACTACTATTGAGTTTTGTTTTGTTTTTTAATTAATTTATTTAGTTTTGGCTATGTTGGGTCTTTGTTGCTGCGCGTGGGCTTCTCCTCGCGGTGGCTTCTCTTGTTGCGGAGCACAGGCTCTAGGCGTGTGGGCTTCAGTAGTTGTGGCTCGCGGGCTCTACAGCGCAGGCTCAGTAGTTGTGGCCTAGGGGCTTAGCTGCTCCGTGGCACATGGGATCCTCCCGGACCAGGGCTCGAACCTGTGTCCTGTGCATTGGCAGGCAGATTCTTAACCACTGTGCCACCGGGGAAGCCCACTATTACTGAGTTTTAAAGGGTTTGGAAATTAGCTTTTGCTGCAGGCTCAGTTCACCTTCTTAGTGAATCCACCTAAAACTGT